ATGATATATGCAAATATACTGCGACATGCACAAAGTTCTGTAGGAAGAGAATATTGCTGAGAGCGGAGTTAAACAAAAGACAAACAAATCTTAGGCGCGGCAATTCGTTATGCAGAGTTGCGTCCATTGGGCACGCCAGAAACCTATGATCGTGGGTTCAAATCTCGGTTCGCCCCGATTATGTTTCTTGTTTTATCAGCTCCTTACTCCATTCGTGATCAACTCGTGTTATTCCGGGACAAGCCGAATAGCAGGTTACGGAAAGGGGCGAATCGTGACGAATGCTCCTTACTCGTGGGTTTCACGTGGGTCCTGCAACGCTGGCGTGCCAAAGGGACGCTACTTTGCTCAGCGAATTGCGGCGTCTTGGACGGCTGGCCTACCGATGCCCTCTCATGAAACAGAACAAGAAAATATATATGATGTGAATGATATACAATATATAGCAGCATATGGGAACAGTGTTTAGTTTAACTATAAAGTGTTACAAGATATTCTGGAAAACTTGTCAAAAAATGCACGAGGTGGGGATATATGTCCCCTCGATATCTCCAGTGCTCTCATTTCGGTATACATGTACCTACGATCACTGACATGAGATCCCTTGAGAGATAGAGGATGTGATATGTGTAAATAATATTGAAACTTTTCTCTTAAAAATAGAAATCTTGGCCACTTCTGGACACAGTGGTAAATGTAATAATATAGTAAATCTTTTTTAAAAAGCAAGAAATAAAGGAAATCAAATTATTCTCTAATAAATATTTCTTAAAAATGTTATGCCACTTCTGGATGGGGATATTGTATTAATTCGTAAAGATTCGTATAGTGTATATAAAATCTCGGGATGTTTGTGTTATGCTTTTTGCGAGAGTTAATAAAAGTAAGATATATGTCATGTGTATGTTTATACCTTACGAGTACAGCAATTAAACTTATTTTGAATTTTAATGATTTTTGCATTAACAAACAAAAAATACGATGCTTTGAAGTTAAAAGGTGTACACTTATGAATGCGATTTAAGGGGGGTAGGGAGGGACGGGGGCTGAGTCGATTGAACGATTCCGACTAAATGTGTTAATGAATCATTATCAAATAGAGATGATACCAGATGTTTGCGAAAGGTAAGAGTATCCTGCCCCATCGGTGTCAGAAGAAATTCCTGGTGTTGAGATCCATTTTCATTGTGTGCAAGTTGTTTTTATTTTCATGCAGAGCTACAAGTCATTAAATATTACTGTGCCAGTGCTTCACACAACAAGAGAACTGTGCTTTTGAAATAGTCAACCAGTGCACTAACAAGTTGTCACTATGCATTTAGCCAGTGCTTGTGCCATTTTCTTCAGTCTTTCCCCCCGGCCTTCGCCCTTGCCCAAAACTACCTCATCCAGCATCAGCCACCCTGTATTACAGAAACGTATAAAAAGAAACAGCTAAGGCTGATTGTTGTCAGAGACCATAAAACAAGATGTCAATGAAAAAAGTTTATTTTAGTGAGCATAGAGAAAAACAGTACATACATCAGATGGATATCGTTCACGAATCACCTCGATAACACAAGATTGAATAACTCTGATTCTTCTGCTATTTCTGCAAATCCCAAAAGTGAACCTCTTGTTTATGAGGTGTAGATAGATTCTGAAAAGAAAAACTGTCTTTTATTAGTCGTACAGTACAAAACATTGCAAAAATATCATACCGTTTAAATATATTTTTTTGTCATTCAATCTGGAGTGAGTGTAAGTGAGTAAGTTGGGTTTTAACGCCGCTTTTAACATTATTCCAGTTATATCGCGGCGTGTCAGCTTAATGTGGGAGGAAAGCCCGAAGTGATGCAGGTCTCAGACGTTTACCACTTCGGTGAAACCCACGAGAACGGGTATGGTGCTGACAAACCTAGAAACATAATTGGGGCGAACCGAGATTCGAACCCACAATCATAGGTTTCTGGCGTGCCCAAGGGACGCAACTCTGCACAGCGAATCGCGGCGCCTTAGACGACTGGGCCACCCTGGTACTCGGGTACTCGGGTCGGGTGGGTCCTGAGCAAGACCCGGGTACCTACAGGACTACCCGGACCCGTGGTTAGTCATGTGATATATTGTTTAATGACAAAAATCATCTAAAACTCTATCGTTACACTATAGGTCACTATAATGTTCCCATTCCTTCTGACTTTTATATGTTTGAATACAGATCAAACTTCATGCAGGGACCCGTGAAGATCCGGGGTAGAATAGGTCTTCAGCAACCCATACTTGCCGTAAAAGGCGACTATGCTTGTCGTAAAAGGCGACTAACGGGATCGGGTGGTCAGGCTCGCTGACTTGCGTGGATCGATGCTCATGATATTAATCACTGGATTGTCTGGTCCAGACTCGATTATTTACAGACCGCCGTCATATAGCTGGAATATTGCTGAGTGCGGCGTTAAACAACAATCAAACAAACAAACAAAACAAACTTCATGCAAGAATTAACAGTGTATTCATGACCAGATCGTGCGCACCCCCACCCCCCACCCCCTTTTATTTAAAAAATATATCTTTATTTCTGTATAAATTACCACCAAAGACAATAAATAGATCTTAATTGTGCACCCCCCCTTTTCAAAAAAGCTGTATCCGTCCATGCAGGGGATTCTGTAGAAGACTCCTGATGCTTCGTACACGTAGTTCTTGTACGTACGCTTCGTTTATTTATCAACGCTGGAACCAGTGCCGTACCCAGCCGGGGGGAGGGGGCAGTTATTGGACGCAATTGACCTTTTTCACACTTTCGCCATCTTGGATCGAAAACGAGGCTTGGAGAGCATAGCTCCATGCAGTGAGAGTCGCATCAGCTCATAGGGAACAGACAGCATGTTGTGCATTTCACTGATGGACATTTTAAACAAACAAAAAATGGTATCCTCTGTATCTAATACAGAAGATACTTCACATTAAATCATGAGGTCCAACTAAAATATGCCTGTAATACACTGGAATTAGCATTTTGCTGTCAGGGTCCCGGAAGTGAATCGAAAGGTGCATTTGGAGATACGTATTTCAGAAATAGATTGTTTTATCATAACCTCGTCGGCATATAGATACAATGTGACAGTACATTCAATGACAGAAGTTTTGTATCGTAAATAAACCGCATAACATGAAACATGTCAGTGTACTTTTGCAAAATTGCTCAGTCAATGCGTGGCTTGGCGAACTCTAGATCAAGATTGAGATCATGTTTATTTCACGTTTCATAGGGGTGTTTGCTGCACAACGCACTATCGTTTTGCCATGAGTCCAGTTGACAAAAGACACTTTTTCTGCTAAGATTTTCATTTTAACATATTACAATGTTAATTATGAAAATAATTCGTGTGTCAAAATAAATATTCAGAAGGGGCGATAACTCTATTCAGTGTGTACAATGACAGATGATACTTTCAAACATCACTTACTTAACTGATTATTGCCGATTGAGATTGCACCGTGCACGACAAAAGTAATAATGTGTGAACTGTTTAAAATAAGTTAAAGGGAAACTAAAAATTGATACATATAAATAATGTATGAAATTGAGTGAGTGAGTGAGTATGGTTTTACGCCGCTTTTAGCAATATTCCAGGAACATCACGGCGGGGGACACCAGAAATGGGCTTCACACATTGTACCCATGTCGGGAATCGAACCCGGGTCTTCGGCGTGACGAGCGAACGCTTTAACCACCAGGCTACCCGACCGCCCCGTCTGAAATTGAAGAAATATAAGAATTGATACAACTACCAACTTCTTGAACACCCTCACCTAATCCTGTATGATGATAGGTAATTGTATATCAAAAGGAAGCTACTAATACATTTATCCTGATTAGTTTGAAAATGTCTTGATCAGATATGAGTACAGATAAAATAATAAAAGATATAAAGGAATCAACTTCAATTGGTAATCAAGCCAAGATAAAATATATGTATCGGTACAAATTATGTTGATGGAACAATCTGGATTTCTCATATTTAACAAAGAAAAACAAACCAAAATTGTCATATCTTTATTTCTCACAATATAAGTTTTCAAAACTTAACATGGACTGTTGTCTTTGTCAGTCAAAAGCACCTAATTAGATTCCAGGAGAAAATAAGTTTCTTGCTTGTAAACAAATGGTACAATGTGCTTTTTCAGTGTCCGATAAATATTGGCCATGTTGATTTGTGAGTGAATAAGGCTTTTCACTTCCTCGTCCTATTTAAGTGAAATATGACAGGAAGCACATTTGTTGATTAAAGATTATGGCTTTTGACTTCCTCGTCCTTTGACAGGACGCACATTGTAACCATTGTGTTACTGTCAGCAGAAAGCTCCTCCAGACATCCGTCACCAGATACTAGTACTTCATTGTGTTGACTCGCTGGCCTGAAATGAATAATTCAATAATATTGTAATAATATTCCTACTTCAATAAAATTTTTTATAAACAATGCATATTCACCTTCTCCCAAAATATTGCTTATTTAGAAAACAACATTCTTCTGAAATAGAGACGTTTAAGGAAATTTAATCACAGTGTGTAACATTACATGCTACTTAAGAACAATCTTGAAGGCATCAATTCATCTGTTTCATGTGCTATCCAGCCTTCAACTTCTGCTCTCCAAGCCTCGCTTTCAAACCGGAAGTAGCGAAGTGTGAAAAAGGTCAATACGTGTAGCTTCAAACATGTCCTGCGTAATAACATGCGCAAAAATAAGACAAAGATTTCCACTTTGTAAAATTTAAGATCCTTGTTTAATTTCTGTGAAAAGAATAGGCAACGGTCCTAACTTGCCTGATCCGTTTCATGTCCCTTTTTATTATTGTTGTTGTTGTTGTTGCCTTGGAAACGCAAAAATATATAGTTCAAAAGTACCTAAAAAGCAATCTTGCTACTTTGGGGGAATTTGCACGTTATATGACGTCATCAAATAATACTGTACCTATGACGTCATGACGCAACACGCACTGACAGCAAAACAAACAGTTATAGCTAGGCAGGATCTACTACGGAATTCGTACATCCACCACGGGAACACATGTAACCAGACAGAAATCAGTTATCAAAAGGACAGAGCAGAGATAACAAAATAAGGAGGATGCCACATTTACACAGCATCTTCTCTCACAGTTTTGCAACTGAAGCAGCTAAGCACGGGACGAAAACAATGTTAGGTTCGTTTTTTTAAGTTCTTTATTTGATTCTTTGACTCATGTAGGCCTACACCAAGATCTACATAAAATTTTAAAAAATACCTTGAAATGTTAGCAAATGATTTATACGCAGGGTAATGAAATATATGCTTTAAAAAACGCAAATATTTCACACTCGCTATCTATCTATATTTCAACAGAGACCATATAATAATAATCTATTATATGGTCTCTGATTTCAACTAGTCTGATGAGAAAACCGAAAATCTATTTCACATTTGGATTTCTCGCGTAATTTACTTTTACTGACCAAGAGTTGTCTTTCTTTGACAGATGGCGGTGTCAGCATTTCCACTTCCGCTTTCTCTGGCGACCAGACGACAGGAAGACGAACTCCGAAGAACATTTTGTGAACGTAGAGTTAAACATCAGTAGGCCTATTGAACGAAGAAATCACTTCGAAACAAGCAGCACTTGAGGAAAGGCTACACCCTACTACTCAAAATGTCGGAAAGAAAAGTTTTGAATGTGAGTAGGCCTAATCGTTACTGTGCTTTATTTTGTATTGTGGAATTTGTGATAGATCTACACTATAAATTGATGAACAATACTTTTGTATCAGCTAGCCGCTGTCAGATATGTAGGCCTTTATTCACGTTTTGATAGTAAGTTTGAGTAATATCCCTGTGTAAACCTGTTACTTATTATTTGATTTCAGAAATACTACCCTCCGGATTTTGATCCATCGAAAATTCCCAAGATGCGGATGCCCAAAAATAGGACCTTCAGCATTCGTATCATGGCACCTTTTAACATGAGGTATGCTTATCAATATAAATATAAAGTTTACTTTGGCATTTTACCGTATGCAGCTTATATATATACCGCTAACTGGCTCAGCTCAGATGGCCGAGTGAGGCTCTCACTTCACAACTGCACAAACCTCGCATGCATCTTCGATCCTATGGGTTTGTTATGTTACAGTGTTCCCGTTTACTTCTGAAACTACCAGTCCACCGGGACTGGCAACTCTAAAAATTACCATTCCCCCCTAATTTTTGTCAGTCCAAACTTTTAGCAAATAAAAAAAGTATGAAAATTACCTGGTTTTAATTCTTTTAACATCATTTTCAATGCAATGACATCATCTCTGAACATGCTGAAGTAACTTCGTTAAATCTACATGTCATTTACATAAAGTTCAGTCACATTATTCTCCTTTTTTTTTTAATATTTCAAGCCAAAGTTGCTACAAATGTATAGTTAACCTCGAAGCAAAGCGAAATGTGAATTGCTTGCACTAAAAATAGACAAGCGGAAATCCTCATGGTAACAGACAAGCTGACTTCATTCGAAATATATACTTATATGAATATAGCCAATGTTTTGTTCAACAACAAAGATTTCTTTACTTTCTTTGCCTGTCCACAGGGACTGGCAGTCACATGAATTACCGATCCAAGCCTAATTTTACCGGTAAAAGACTGGTAATTACGGGAACACTGTTAGGGTAAGGGTAGATTACCCTCAGCCCTTGGATCCCCTTTCCGACCATCCTTAGGTTTAGCCACCCCTTTCGATCGGTTAGTTCTGTGTAATGGTATGTTTCAGCTATCCCTTTTAACTAATTAATGTAATTTGTGGTAAATCTGTACAAGTTTTATTAAAATTTTGAGTTTCGGAGAGAAAATGGCCACTGCGCATATGAATAAAGGTAAACAGTTTGGGTGCTGATCACTTGGTCGACAAGGACTAATAATTTGTGGTAGAACCAGTGGTAAAATTAGATTACTGTATTCGATGTAATAAGCGCCCAGGGTGCTCTCAAAATTAGAAATAGGGGGCTCTTATTAGAATACAAATTTTGGTGAAAGGGTTGAAAGATTATAGATTTCGTGGTTTATGCTGTCAGCCTGAAATGATACAAAAGTAAAGTCTGTGCGTATTATACATGACAGATATATTTTTCCAGAATTTAATTGCCCGTGATTAAGGAGTGCATTTACACACAAGTGCGTATTATACACGAATAAATAGGTATTGTGTACATTGATCAATCGGAAGGGGGCTAATTGGGATTGTTCACTAGCTAATATATTAGCAAATATTAGAGCTTTGCGCTTATCACGTCAAATATGGTAAGTAGCCTAGCTTAACTTCAGTGTGACAATGTGGGTGTAATCCTGATCGCTGCGCTAATTGAAATCCAAAAAAGTACACCCAGTAAAGGACAATACTTCCTTTATTTTTTACAAAGAGTTGTTTCTGTTTATAACTTGATTTGATGCATCCATCATTTTCAATAACAGTGTTTGAAATAAAGTTTCTTGATCCATTTTGCTACAGTAGTATTTAATCAAGGGACACCTTTAATTTGTAACTTTAACAACCGGGCAATGCCAAAGACCCCTTCAGCTTTTTGCGAAGTTAATTTCAAACTCTAAATAAGATGATTAATGATATACATTATAACTTGGTTAACAGTTAAAAAGGTACCAAAGGTCCCATTGTGCATGTTGTGAAAGGTTATTTAAGAATGGCGTGATTTGGCCCTCTGATTTAGTGTAATGGAAATTAGTGGTCTGCATGAATGAGTTTTATTTTACCTCACAAATGTTACACTTACAGTGTTCCAAATTAAACATTAAAGTTAAGGGAAGGGGTCCTTGTCAATGACATATAATTGCCCTGAATTATCCGTACTTAGATCGGGGGCACAGGTTGCTCAGTCATCTAAAGTGCCTTGGGCACCCCAGATGCCTGTGATTGTGGGTTAAGATCCAAGTTCGCCCTGGTTATGTTTCTACATTTCTCAGCACCATAACCATGCTCATGGGTTTTCGCCTATGGTAAAGTGGTAAACGTGTCAGACCTGTATCACTTCAGACTTTCCTCCCATATTATGCAGACACACCGTGATATAACTGGAACACTGTTTAAAACAGCGTTGAACCCAACTCACTCACTAAACCTACTAGATCATGCTAAAATTAAGCATTGTTAAGAGTTAAAAGATTCAGAGATCCCAAGATTCAAATACTGTTCCAGTTCACCTCAACTTGCACCAGGATTCCGGGTATCTCCTTAATCATGATAAATTCTAGCAGTAGCATTGTTGTTTTTTATGTTGTTTTTCTGTTTAGCATGTTTAGTAAACATGTTGATGTGTGGAAAAAGTGTTGATTGTGGAACTGTTTTTCTTGACAGATGCAATACCTGTGGAGAATACATCTACAAAGGCAAGAAGTTCAATTCTCGCAAAGAAAATGTGGATGATGAATTTTATCTTGGTCTAAGAATTTTCCGGTTTTACATCAAGTGTCCCAGATGTGTAGCTGAGATTGCTTTCAAGGTAAGATGTCCTCTATCTTAGCATGCTAAGAACAGGGATAACCCCACAATCTTTCCACAAACATTTTTGAATGTCCTTCATACAGACATAGCAATGAATTACCACTGGTCCTGTCAATTTTTCACCAGTTCTGATTTCAAAAGTTAAACCTTAATTGCTAGGGATGGGTAAGTCTCGTTTAACTTCATAATTTTATGTTAAACTTTTAACATTTATATGGGAATGGCGAGAATGGGAAAGACAAGAACCCCTTGATTTCCTGCTTAATTTCGATCACTTATCCAGTATATACCCCAAAACTATTGAATGTTAGCTCTTCTATACATGCTATCCGGAACATCATTCTCAGATGTTAGTGTTAATGTAAATAGGCAGTTGTAATCATGGTAACCTGAGTTTACTAATAGATTTATGGACACAGACTTTGGACTATTAGCGAAGTTGCTTCTTTCCTTGCTGAAGTCACAGTAAATTCAAAGGATTGTAAATTAGAAATACAGAAAAAACATCATTTATACTGAGTTGTGTTGAAGTTTGAAATTGTTGGCAAGCTTCAAAAGCTTGATGTTTCACACCACAAGGCCTAATTGTTGTTTCTGTTGATAGACTGACTTGGAGAACACTGACTATGCCCTGGAAGCTGGAGCTGCTCGGCTGTTCGAGGCGGAGAAGTTGGCACAAAAGATGGCTGCTGCTGAACAGAAGGAGAAAGAGGACGAGGAGATGAACCCAATGAAGGTATGTTCTTGTGTTGTACGCTGGTGGATCATGATACAGTATTGTTGTGAAATGCATTATTTACCTTAAAAGTACAAAACATTTAATTTCCAAGTTTCATACATGATATAATCTTGGTGCATCAAGATATACTTTGTCAGTTGTTCATATAGCAACCCCTCTCTGTATTGATTACCTTCTGAGTTTTATATAAATACTTTTACTTGATGTGTGATATTATGAAAGAAGATGTTTTAATTTATCATTGTTTAGAACAGTTTTCTAACAATGATTTCAATCTTTTCAATTTTTGATTGAACTTGCTTCTATATCCATGATATCATGACCAAATTTGAAAACAATCATCAGGACATAAATGACAAAGTCATTGTACTAGAAAATGAACCCTGAAACCCTGAAGCTCTTAGCAGTCCAACTTCTTTGAGTGGCAGTCCCTTAGCAGTCACTGTTTTTTTTAACAGGCCACCATCATATACATAAAATATCGTTGACTACGGTGTTAAAGAACAACACAAATAGCGGTGCAAGGTCATGATACGATACATAGATCTTGATACTATACATATTGCAATATGCATGTTTACGTCAAGTTACAAGGAAAAGTCTTGGTTACAAATTTTTTTAGAGCAGACTCAAAAGGAAAAGCTAGCTGTAGACACATGTTCGCAGTTGGTATGTTTTACCTTAATTACTTGACGCTACATAGTGCTTTTGCTTCCCTACCTGTAACAGTCAATACTTGAACAGAGACAGTTGAAACAGACTATAGTCCGTGCCCTCTGACGTGCGTGTTAATGTCATTTTTGCTATAGTTTTATAAACTTTTGGTGAATCTGTCATTTATTTCCATGTAAATGACTTTCTGTTGTCACATTTCCTATTATCTGAGTAATATATATGTTTTTGTTGTCTACCAGGCACTCTCCACACTGTTGTTGTGTTGCGATGTTTTTTCCAGTAACATGTTCTCAATTGTTCTGCTTTAACATTTTATACTGGTAATCTTATGCTCAGTTCACATTTTTTGCAGAATGTGTTCTATGCATCGCACTTTGTGCTAACATCTCAAGTCAGAGAAAGAACCACATAATATTTGCCCTTAGTGCCGGCAGATGTGTTCTTTCACAATTGATGCTCTGTTTGCTCTGTTATAACAACTGAAGAATTTGCATCTTATAGAAAGGCTTTTGTTAAAGGGAAAGTTCACACGGAAATTAACCTAATTTTCTTGTACTTTTACCACATTTAAAGTGTTAACCTAGAAGTGTCATAGACAAAAATATAAAAATATCACAATTAATTAACATATTTTTCGCATTAAAACGATTTATATTTTTCACATTTACCAAGTGTTCTATTTCCACAACAAAAACACCATGGCTTATGCCCCTTGCAATATGACATCATTGGTGCCAATTGATAAACATTATGACGTCATCATGCTTTGTTAGAGCCGCTTCACGTGGTGTAGGTCTAGGTGTGTGATTCTAGCGTCTCAGATGCCAGCCAGCATAGTGTTGTGCTGAGTCACCACTGCGCCGGAGTGTGTCGTAGGCCATGTTGTTTTACCGCAAACTGGTACTTGATATCTTTTGCGTTGAGAATAGACAGGGACCCAGTTGAATTGGCACCAATTACGTCATAATCTAAGGGGGATAACTCAGGCCTGTTTAGCTCGAAAAACGAAGGCCTCATAACGGCATATCATTTTCACACTATTGTGAGCTTCCTACTTTCACTGTGAAAAAAATGAGTGTATATTTTCAAACACAGATACTAATTAATTCTAAAATTGCGTTTTGTTTAGAAAAAGAAAGAAAGTGATTTTTGCGTGTACACTTCCCCTTTAAGTGCTCGAAAAAACTTGCGCAACGGAAGATGATGCCAGGTCCTCCGTTGCCAACCTCTCCCCCTCACCTCCTGCTATGACTTCAGTGACCTCCTATCCATTGAAGCCGGTGTCTACTGGTCTTCTTTCCCATTTGACCCCCTCCGCTCTGGTGGATTTTTTTAATCCAGCATCCATCCATGCCTTTTGGGAACAACTGCTTTAACATAGACCTGATGACGTAGCTTTGCCGCCGAATTGTCTTTCCCATGCTTTGTTGGACACTTTGTCGGTTTCCCATCACTGTTCGCATAACCTAATTATCGCCCTGATGAAAATCACCAGCTATTGCCAGGCCGTGACATCACCTTGTGCTTCTGATTGTTAACATCGTGTCCGATCGCCTACTCAGTACATCGCCTCCTCCCCTTCTGGTGACCAGGCACTTGGTACCAGGTGCCTTGTTCCTATGTTGCACACAGATTTTCAGACACTCAGCACGTCTCTCCAGATAGGCAAAGTCAGTCTGACGCTTCACCTGATTGTCGCCACACTACTCGCTGCCAAACAGATGACGATCAGAATTTCATCCCCGATTATAATGAGTTGTCCCCTGACAGGAAATTTACACCTGCAGATATGCCACTTGGCTTGTTGATCATCACCCCTGCGCTTTGCTTGGGCAAGGTGCCTTCCCACCAGGTGGAGCATAGGGTCTCAGATTCTGGGGATGTTCTCCAAGGGACCAGTCAGTTGCCGATGTTACTCCAAACTTATTAGAGGAATTGGCAGTTACTGCAGCATCCCTTTGTCACTCGTATCGCCTGCAGATTCGTGCTGTTTGTCCTCTCATGCAGGAGTTTTATTTATTCTCCCTTATCCCCAAGAAGGGTCTCTCCAAGTTGCGGATGACTCACAACCTGGTGCTATTCAATCAACACTGCATCACCGCATTTCCAGATGCTCTCCCTTGGACCATCTTGTCACGAGCTCCTCACAGCGATAGCCCGTTCGGGGAGCTCTCTATATTGTAACTGCCACCAGTCAAAACTCCCCACTGTGATAGGTGGCCCCAACCATGCTTGGAGTTGAACTCGCAACCAAATGACCATCATGTTTACAAACAAGTGATGACTGTCGTGACGCCGAATACACTTACCGCTGCTAAGTAACTGTTCTTTGCTTGTCAATTTGAATTTCTATTTCATTAAAACTATCTTGTTATTGATATAGTAAGAATGTAAGGGAGAAGTTGGTTGATTTTCCGTTAGTCTGAAATCTCGAACCAATCTGATTTTACAAACAACAAAGTAAATTCATCTGGAAAACATGGTCAGTCGTAAACCTTTTCAAAATGAAATATGATGGCATTCCAAAAGACAAAAACGAAAGTATAAACGTTACTACATTTGGGGTTAGAGGGCAAATTTCAAGATTCTTGTTATGGCCGCGCCCACACTGGTGGCAGCGATGTTACCGAGAGTGTAACGAAGGTGTCACACGCTGGGAAGGAGCTTGATCTTGTCAGTCAGGATACTTACCTGCATATCCCCATCTATGTAGCTCATCAATGCTTCCTCTGGCTCATCTTTTGGGGGCCGGCACTCCTATTTGAAGTTCCACGGCACAGTGGTTATTCACACGCATCACCAAGCCCATCATTGCATTCCTGCACTGGAAGAAGATTCAACGTGTACATCGATGAAGGCATTCCCAGTCATGTCTGCCTACAGGTTCTGACTCGGTAGAGAGATATCACCCTTCAACTGCTCTATTGGCTGGGGTGGATGGTTCAAGGCTACCAAGTTCGAGGTCCACCAAGCACTTTGTCTACCCCTTGACCTCCATCCAATGGCTGACCCTCCTCAGGCTATTGACCTCAAGATTGTACATCCAGGGGTCGCCTTCAACTATGTCCCCTTCAGAGATTTCTCCTATTGTTGGTGTCTCTGCTGGAGCAGGCCTTTCTCTCTCTGGTCAGATGCGGAACACCTGTTTTTGCCCTTTGGTTTTTTCTCTCCTTCAAACCACCGTTCTTTTCCAAGAAGGCTTGACCTGCGTCATATCCCCTAGCCTGAAGAGATTGGCATCGCTACCTCGCTGCCGCCTAATGCTTTCACGGTGCTTCCTCAGCTTGACTGGCGTACTAAGTAGCGAAAGATAAGGTAAAACATGAGCATTTCGAAATAAATGCAGTGTTTTTTATATTTACCTGACGCTACACCTTTATGCCCCCCTGGACTCTGGACGCCTGCTGTCATACAGTGAAGAATATGAGGGAGTACGGGTCAACACGGAATAACTCTTAAGTGTCGGGCATGGGCTATAGTCTGTTTCAATCATTTATCTGTTCAAGTACTGTCTGTTTGTAAAACGTAGAGAAGCTAAAGCATTGCACTATGTAGCGTTGGGTAAGTATTAAAACATTGCATTTAATCTGAAATGCTCATTTTAAGTAGTGAACTTGACACGCTATTATATAAACACATTTTGCAGTATTTGATTGACGAAAACGTTAGGGGGTAATTTTGGACTAGTGTATCATCTCGTATTGATGCAAAAGAAAATGTATCCTGTATTGTATCGTCTTATTAATACTCATGATGCACTGGTGAACCAATGTATTGTTTCAACCCTAAACAAAAATAAACATGTACTGTACTGGTACAAGATAGAGCTACAGACCTACTTTTTCTGATAAAAGCAATAATTGATAATGAATCATGTTAATTAATAACTAGGTGCTGGAGAACAGGACAAAAGCCAGCAGGAATGAAATAGAAGAGCTGGATAAACTAGAGGAGCTGAAAGAGATCAACTCAAAGAAAGCTAACCTCGACCATGAACAGATGATAGAAGTCCATCAGAAGTATGAAGAACTTTTGGCGAGATTGCAAGATGAGGAGGATGAGAAGATTATAGAGTGAGTTGTGACTCACTGCCACCATGACTATACACTTGGGGGTATTCTAGAATCAGATTAGGTCCCCAGTACCTTATGGTAGTTGTAAGAGCTGACGAGAATTTTGATTGGGTGGTCAAGCAATGTGACTTTGCTGATTGCAGCCCAATAGAGTGGTTGGTTGCTCATGCTTTCAGTCACTGGATTACCTAGACCAGATCATTTGATTTCTGTGGTGCTGTGTTTTTGAGTATCTATTGGTATTCAAAAATACTAAAACTGTCATATCTTCTTCATAACAGCCATACAGCATTGAACAGTGCCTAGTCTGCACACTTAAACTGCATGGTTAGCCCAGTTGTCTCAGGTGACGTAACATTTGGTTTGTCACTGTCAGTATCATGCCCATGCTCGTGGGTTTCACCAAGTGGTAAACATCTTAACCCTGCATCACTTCAGCATGTTCAGGCTTTCCTCACACATGAAGCTGATAACTACTGTTAAAGGTGGCGTTTACCTCGCACTTACTTATGAAATGATCAATTTTCTTGTTCTCTTATTTTTGTCATCTTGTGTGTAATGTTTCCACTCACTGTCTTGCAGGTCTATATTTGGAGAGAAAGATGGTGAGGCAGTGAAGAGATTGGCGGACACTGACAGTGATGAAGACAGCTGTGATGCCCCGCCTGTCAAGAAGCAACCTCCCCCAGAGAGACCTACTGATATATTTGCTGAGGTGGGGTTACAGATAATGACAGTATTTGTCACAGTTTGTTACATACAGAATATCTGGATAAGCTTAGTAAGCTTTGTTGCAGAGATAGGCAATCCTCTCGACTTTTCAATCTCTGTGATCTTGTGACAGTAACCATGATAACATAACGCTCAATTTGTGAAAGTTTGTTATTTAGGATAACAAATGCATAAAAGAATACTTGGTAGTCTGCATCAATTTGCCAGTCCGTTGTGACCTGCCACAATCGTGAAATCTTTAGTTGCTTAAGAACATCCTAAGAGCATTTTTACAGTTGTATTGAATATTCATAAATGGTCTTTCAAAAGATTCAAGTCAGATTATGAAATTGAAGTATTTATTATCAATTATACATAACAAAACCTGACTGGCAATTTTTGTTCACTTAGGAACCTTTATCTGTCTGACTCAAATGAAATAAATTTATTTATCATATAATGGGTAGGTTTCTTGGCAGGATAAAGCCAATGTATAAAAACGATATCCGTTGGGGTAATATGCGGATAGAGATGCAAATATCAAAGGTCAAGTAGCGACTATTTTCACTGTTTATAAACAAACATGGCGTCGCCCTCGTCATTCGGCGATCGAGTCATAATTAACCATTGGGAATCTGGATAAACTACAGGGATAATTGCTATCATTATCAAAAGAACAGTCTAATATACTGAAAATCAGTGTCTAAATATGACGTAGCTAAGGCATTTTATAAGTTTTGGCAACTTTGGAGATATAAATTTCGAAACAATTTGACGAGGGCACGAGGCCTAGCCAAGCGGGATCAGGAGCCATATCTGTGCTTGTAGACATCTGCGGCTTGAAACCTCCACAAATTAAAAGAGATGGATTTGGCCGAAATATGTTTGAATTGTTACCTTGTTTCGTTTTGTCGCTGTGTATACATCTGACTACACTTCTTAGCGTTATGATAGGACAGACCGACTATCAACAACGTCTGACCGTGGTCGTGACGTCTCATAGACTAGGGTTAGAGTAGCTTCCCTTTGACAAAGGGCAGTTACTCTAGCGGACAGACAGATGGATTGCTGTGAAAGGCAATTAAAATCAATTGTTTTGCGTATATGTTGCTTCGACACTGTATAAGAAACAGATTTCAGTTGGAACTATATTGGCTACTGTCACTGTCCGGCTGACACATCACTTACCCTGTGACATAATAAATATTAATGCGCGCATTCCAGGAAAACTCGCAATGTTTCGGTAATATTTGTGAGAGAGGGAAAGCGATTTTGAAGCACAGAATTAAAGAATGACATTACATGATAAAGAGGTTATCACGCTTGTGTGTTTGGGGATGGTAAATATCCTGTATTAGGAATAAACACTATGTATTTAGCTCGCCAAGGCTCGCTAAATAAAATGTTTATTCCTAATGCAGGATATTTACCATCCCCAAACACACTCGCGTGATAACCTCTATATAACAGTCTGCGACCTTAGCTACCGGTAAGCTCAGATATATTAGTTCAGACTATAACACCTGTAAACACCTGTAATTGGAAAATAACAAAAGTTAGAGACAATAACAACAAAGGATATTACAGTATACTTAATCCTCTTTACAATGGTATATGATAAGTATATATTAAAAGCATGTTTCTGGTAGAAAAAGTGCATCAAAAAGTGATTTTCCAATAATACTGCCAGGGAGGCCAGTGTACAGGCCTTGTCAGAGTGAGGGACTGCAGTGTTTCAAGGGACATAACTCTGGGGCAGCCAGGGATGAAAGAGTTAACTTAAGTAATGATGCTGAAAGCCAAGTTCAGGCTAGTACCTGTAGTAGCCTAAAAGGTTTTGGGCAAGGACTGTTGCAATAACAATGTTATTACTTCTTATACAGGTGAACCCAGAGAAGAAGAAAGAAGAGACAAAGAAGCAAGAAAGCTGGCAAAGAAGTGTTGGATCTCTGTCATCCAAAAACAGTCTAGCTAACCTAGTCGTGAAGAAAAAGCCTGCTGCAAAGTCCAGCTCTACTGTTACCAACAATACAACAAGCCAGTCACAAGCTGTGCCTAATAAGGACAACTCAAGTTCGAAAGACACTGAGCCAAAGAAGCAGTCAAAACCTGTTTTATCTGGTTTGAGCATGCTGGGAAATTATTCAGGAAGTGATAGTGAAGAAGTGTCTGAGTAAGAGGTTCAACATGTTCACTGTTCATGTGTTATGTTAGATTGGAATAGGGCCCAAATCACACAACCCTGATATTTTGACTCCAGGTTGTTTTGAAGTTTATTTGGTTATATGTTTGATAACAAGACATGTATGATCACACAGCAGCACTCTCAACCAGACTAACGACTAACTACGTCAAAAACCTTCAGACATCACTTACCAGCTATATGTTATCCTGGCGACATTGAATGCGATCACAGATGGTGGCGTCCAGCATGTCATCGCATTCAATTTCACCATCTTGAAAGGAGTCTCTCACTCACAAGATCTGATTATATCTATGAACTAACTTTTAACATTTAACATTTACATTAAACCATGGTCTGTTGAGAACAGAGCATTACCTTGCATACTACACAGACAGCAAGCAATTGTTTGGGAAAACTGATGTGCAGGAGTTGACACCTTCTCAGTCTATGACTTACAGCCACTAGTCCAAACCAGAGTCAAATAGAATGTCTTTCTGTCTTAGGAAATTTGGCTGATACTCGTATATGTATACTAGTCAAAGACTAAAATCTACAGACAATACTGCAAAGATAAATAAGTTTGAGATGATCTGACGATTGACTCAGCCTTTTTGGGGACTTCTCATTTTATGCAATGATACCTAATTAACTGTTCGTTTTTATGGATTTTCATTAATGTTTAGGATGTTGTCAGTTTTCATAAAGAATAAATTGAGACTAGTACATAGTAAGAGTATGCATCAGTCTTTGTCAAAAGCCTTCTCCTGAGGTTGTCTTGCAACATGTGCAGGTGAGGTGATACTTCAGTTACATTTGTAAAGTACTGATAGCAATTAGATAAACATGATATTTTGCTTAAATGTTTGTCCATATTTGAGACACATTTCTGCTGGCACTTGCTTGCTGTCTGTGGAAATGAAATGAGAAACAGTTCATTCATGTTTCTTGTTTCAATTATACAAAAAAAAAATTCATAATCTTGTTGTACAGACATATATATATATGATTATATTTGTACAAAGAAATTACACATGTTGTACAGGTCCTAAAAGTTTATAATTTTGTAGATTCATTAATAGTGACTACTGGCAAACAACTTAGATCATGAACTTGATATCATCAGTCACACAGTCATGAATTTGAATCTGAGATTCCATATGTATCATAAATAATAATCTTATGTAAATGGGTTGTACAGAACCAGGTTCCAATTTAAACAATTCCTAACTATTTCAATCAGCTGACATTTTGTCAGCAGTCCTTTATTATGAATGTATGATTTGTTTAAAATATTCAGGTTCAAAGAGTGCACTAGTTTCTTTAAAGATACACATTATGATATAAAACTGTTTTACACATCACAAACATCAAATGAGGACTGGCAGTCTCACAAAATGTCAGATGTTTAGAATTTTGTCCTTTTATGTGCTGGGTGTTTAAAAACACCTAAATTTTTCAGGACTCGTAGTTCTAAACAAGCCATTGTCTGTCTGACCTAGAATACCCTTAACTTGCCTATGTTTTGGCTAATGGAATGAACATCAGCTAATTCCTTTCTTCCATCACAGACTGGGTTCCTAATGTTATTATAAGGGTAACGCTATTTTTCAGGGCATCATCATTTGCAGAAGCCTGAGGTCTTCCCTTAACTGCCCGACGAAGGAGGGCAGTTGAAAAGACCGAGGGTTTCTGCAAATGATAATGCCCTGAAAAAGAGCGTTACCGTTATTAAAGCTAAAATGAATGGAATTTGTTATCAAATAAAAAGAAACATTTACTGCAATCAACACGAATGTCACTGACCCCATTTTACAAATATGGAAACGTCATAGAACAAACCAGATGATGTCACTTTAATACGTGACGTCACTTTCTCTACCCTATGACGTCACCTAAAAACAGGCTTGATAATGGCCCATCGTCAAGCAATATGAGGGCATTATCAAGTTACAGTGGCCCGCTCATTTCTGATAACGTGCTGGCGGTTAAATGATAATTCTATCCATTTTAGCTATAATGTCTTTTAGTTAGGTTCCTCAGGCATGCCATTATGGTTTCATTCGCTAATATTGATCATTGTATTGTCTTTGGTTCGGAGACATTGGTGAGATCAATTCACGCTCTCCTCACACATTAGGCTGACATGCCATAATGTAACTGAATACTGTACAAAGTGCATTTGGTGTTCAACGCAACTCACTGATTTGACTTTTTAAGTTTTTAATTGCCACTGTAGGAAGATGCACGATGCAGATGTTTAACAAGTTGTTGACAGTGGAGTATATTAATTACAACCAGAGTAAACTGTAAGCAGTTATGCTGGACCATTCTAGGACCAGTGAATGTATTACTGCAGAAATTCATGACAACAGATTATATCTTCAGTGATTTTTCATAGTGAGAACTTAGGGTTGATTTTTTTGTTTCCAATAACGAACCTCCCTTCAGCACTAGCAGTATCTACAGTTGGTGGGGCCATATTACATTTTAACTGATGTCATGAATTTCATGATACAAGTTAACAAATCTGTAATGACATCTTCATAATCATCATGATCGTCACCCGAAAAGTAAAATTTGTATTTTAATTCCATTTATTTATGAATGATTGTATTTGATTATCCCCCCCATCTTTTGTTGAATCCATTGTTTTGAATGGAAGGGCCCGGTTTCATAATAAACAATGAATAAATAAGATTTTTCATGTTTTTCCTTATTTTGAATCATTCTTGAATCTAAATAATGGAAGTCACTGTGAATGGGAGATTGAATGGAAGAAGTGAACCTGCCTTGTGAGGTTTATGTCCTAGTTAAGGCAGGGTCAGCTTTTTTGGATGTCATAGGTCATGATGCCCTATTCAAACTCAAACAGTGCCACTCAGCCTAGGTAGGCATGCTTGGAATGTTACAACATATGTTTACTTGAATGTAATTTGGTAATTCTAAAGGAGTGTTATTTGGAAAGAAACATGCCTAAGAATCTGATTGTTTACGTCACACAATTACATCACAATTGCATAGAATCTATATACATAAACAACATGGAATGTAAGGAATCCAAGTTGTAGTGTGTGGAATGCAAAGGGAGGTAACTGCATAACATGTAGGCCACTAGAAAATATGGCCCAAAATATAACTTTGCATTACACCTTCCTCTAAAGAACATGACCACATGTTAAATAAAACAGCAGTGACAAGGTTGAACCATATGAAATACTTCATGCTCAATAACTATGGTTGCATAACCCAATTAATCCAAAAGCATAACTTATTGATTGATAATAGAACTCGTTGCTTCAAGCAAACATTGTTTTTTGTTGGCATCCATTTTATAACTGACAACTGATCTTCTCCACACACACAATCATTCCTGAAAAACTAGGACAATGCACAACACAATCAAATTATTCTATATTTACAACTGTCAACTTCACCAATATGAGTTTTCATATTAACACAAGTACTTCCAGAATGAGAGATATCTCCCTTACACAGCAGTAGAAATTAACATTTTTAGTCCACTAGTTCTTATAATGATACCATATAGCAAAACCCTTAAAAATGGCAAATTTCTACTCCATATGATGCCTTAACTATTGGTCAGTTTGACAAGGACTACAGGACCAATTTCTAACGCTGCTTACATCATCATTTACAAAGTAAATCATTTACATTGATCAATGGGTTGACTGAGTGGGATACCCCGATAAGAGGGGTCCCTTATTTGTTGTCGGTGGATGCTCACTCTCGCTCTAAGGGTGTCCCGTCTGTCCAATGTATTCAGCTTTGCATACAGCACACTGTATGACATAAATCCAGTTTTTCGAAGCACAATTCATATTTTCATGGGCATAGAAAGTTTTTCCGTCTTTGAATGTAAAAGAACAACATTGTAAAACATGAGGGCAAGAACCACAATTAGCTCTGTTACACTTTGTACTGTTTTACATTCTTTTCCTTTTGAGAAAGAAGCCCTAGTAAGAATCTGTTTCAGATTTTGGCTCTGCCTTTTACTTTTAATAAATTTATTTAGTGACATTTTTTGTTTTAGTTCTTTACACTAATTTAAAAAAATACAGTGTCTTCCGAACACTTCCAAATATTTCCGGGTTTGGGGGATTAAAGGTTGTAACAAATGGGAGAACACTCTCTTTAAGTTTATCTTTAGGTTTTAAAAGATCACAGCGGTTTTGTGATTTAGCCTTGTTTATTGCATCTTCTACTATTTTTCTAGGGTGGTTTCTTTCTAGTAGTGACTCCCTCAGTTCATCGAGTCTATATTGTGCATGATCTGAATTAGATACTATTGCGCAGATTCTATGTGCTAACGAGTAAGGGACACTATTCTTAGTATGACGGGGGTGACAGGAATTGTAATTGAGGTTGTAAGGGTTGGGTATTGGGGTAGAGCTTTGGGTAGCAAAATCGTGGATCTCTCCCAATACCTCCAACCAGTTGTTAAGTTATCAGGAACAATTTCACAATTAAGAAATACACAATAACATTTATTACATTACAAGAATATAATTATTCCTATCAGTATTTCATTCAGTTAATAAAGTATACAAGAAATATAAAATACATGTATGTGAATGACAACTCACATCTCTCGGATCGAACCAGCCTGAGATTTTTTACTATCAACAAAGTGACGTCATACCGGAAGTAGTCTCTCGCACAAGGATACAGTCGGTGGAACGTAGGGAAATTGCATTCCACCCGTGACAGAAGTTATTTTACATCGTGTCACGGCTATGTAGTAATATACAGTGCATTTAGATAGACTAGATGCAATTTTGTAGCCATACAAGTCAGATTTAAGCCATTATGCTACAAGAAGTAGTTTCGTGGAACAGACTCACAAATATAGGTGACGTCATATGAACTATCATGTTGCCAAATCAAAGTAGGTGATTTAGAATGTGTTCACATTTTGTTTTTGCACATTAAACAAACAGTCAGTAAGATCAGTGGTGATATACAATAAATCATGTAGCAATAATGTATATCTTTACGGTTGTATGCTGTATCTCATACAACATTACAATATGATTAATCTCACTGTCTACTGACAGAAATATACAAAAGGCTTGTACATTACAGAGGTATCGTTTGGAATCGGTTGGTTTGTAATATTTATCTGTTTCAATGTTATTGTTTGAAATTAAACCACTACATCTAGAAATGATAGATTTTTATCGCTCATCTCAAAAGTAGAGGTTAAACTTGGATGGAGTGTCTATAAGATGTCTGTCAGACACTATAGATCGATCGTCTTCATTCTGATTCCACAGAACAAAACAATCATCTAAAAATCTTTTTGTCTTGAAATCCCTGTCCATATTCGAAGATACACTATCCGTTCAGCCTTCCTCCGTAGCACACCATACCTCTTAATCGTTACCCCAAAACTAACACACACACACGCACGCATGCACGCACGCATGCACGCACGCACTCACGCACTCACACACTCACACTATTGCATCACAATCTCTTCAAATTTATATACATACACTACATTGAATGTAGCAAATGCAAGGATGCTGTGATGGTCTCAGGTGTATGCCTGTGGATGATATCTCAATATCCCCAACACTCGCAGTTAATTAAATAAATTTACTGATAGAATCTTTCACAAATATAACACAAACAAGTGATTGAAGTCAATAAATTATTATACTTATTGAATGAATGTCAAATAGATATATATAATGATGAACAATAGTTATTACAATAGAATAAATTAAGTCTTGACCAAACTTAAGAGTTATAAATGTACCCATAATGAAGTGTCATAAAATGAGCGTGTAATTGTGATCAAAACAAGTCTGCATCTGTAACTGTTGATAAGTGACGTCATCAACGAACTCATGCGAAACAAAGTAAAATAAATAAGGCAAAGCAGAAAGCAATAAAAGCAAAATTAATTAAGTCTCTAAAAGAAACATGATAATAAATTGAGTTGAAGCTACTGAATAAACGAAATGTGAGATACGAAACTAAAAGTCAACTCACACTGTGACATGGAATGATGGCTTGCTGCAAACCGGGAAATGAAACACAGCAAAGGAGATACATTCTACAGAAAACTAAAAGGTAAATAAAGGTAAAAACTGAGCGATAAATACATAAGGAAAATGTACTAATCAATCAACTGAAATGTAAATGAACTGTTAATTCATCCACAGTACAAAATCTGAAGAAGGCCATACCAAACGATAAATATTTACAATTACATATTAATGTATTTACAGTGAAATATACAATAGTTTTGAAATATATTTACACATGATGATATAAAAAATAGCATATTAATCATTGATGTCATATTAGTGTAATTAATAACAATAATATGAATTTACAATATTTACAATTATCGATTACCATACCCATACTGGGTAGGTTACTTCAGATGCAAACAAACCTCGAGCGTTAAACGTTATTGTGTGGTATATGAAGGGAGATAGCTCTGTCATGTCATAACATAAAGGCCACTAGAAAATATGGTCAGAATATAACTTTACACACATACATATACATATGCCAGAAAAGAAGCGCCAACCTCAAAGTTGCAACTAAAACCGTCACCAATGCGTCCTAAATTTCAATTTGTCTACTGTCTAAAATTCAGAGTTAGCCAAATGACTACCTTGAAAAAATATATTGTGGCGACTAAATT